CAAGACCCCATCTCCATTAAAAAAAAAAAAAAAAAAAAAGATGAAGTGGAAACTGAAGCCCTGGATAGGTCATGAGCTGGTAAGAAAGCACACCAGTGCCTTATATGGTTACCAGGCCTGAAGTTCACACAAACCGTACTCCAGAGGGGGAGACTTTGCAGACACAACTGCAAATGTGTGTGGAGCCAGAGGGCAGCTCTGGGCAAAATTATATATGCAGATCCTGTAATATTACAGGCACTGATCCTTGGCAAAATCCTAGGACAAATGATTGAATAGTACTGTAACTACTGAGGAAAGGAAGGAGTGACCACAAGGAACAGCATTATAATATAGAAGAACAGGTCATGCTGAACAAATCTGTTTCTTTTTATAGGGTTTTGGAAGGATACATCAAGAGCATGGTATACACCAGGTATTTTATTTCAATAGGCATCTGGCTGACATTTTCATAATATTCTTGCAAACAAACAGGGAGGAAACTTGAGCAATATGATAGTCTAGTTTGGGGCTAAACTGAGCATGCCTCCACCTAAGTGCTGAGAAGTCTGCTGCTGCAAGGTGTCTCGAACTGGGGTGGGTCTCAGGACCAGGGTTCACAGGCATCTCCACAGAGGCATTTTTATTCTTTTCTTATGTTTTCACTGTGATGATTTTTTTTTCTTTTTGAGACGGAGTCTCACTCTGTTGCCCAGGCTGGAGTGCAGTGGCGCCATCTCTGCTCACTGCAAGCTCCACCTCCTGGGTTCACGCCATTCTCCTGCCTCAGCCTCCCCAGTAGCTGGGATTACAGGTGCCCGCCACTATGCCCGGCTAATTTTTTGTATTTTTAGTAGAGACGGGGTTTCACCGGGTTAGCCAGGATGGTCTCGATCTCCTGACCTCGTGATCCGCCCGTCTTGGCCTCCCAAAGTGCTGGGATTACAGGCTTGAACCACCGCGCCTGGCCATTCTACTGTACTTTTTTTCTTAAATAAAGAAAAATATGGTTGAGGAAGTAATGAAGGGACTCTCTACTGTGCACTTAAGTCATCTAAAAGAGGCCAGGTACAGTAGCTCATGCATGTAATCCCAGCACTTTGGGAAGCCAAGTGGGGGAGGATCGCTTGAGCCCAGGAGTTCAAGACCAGCCTAAGCAACACAGTTAGACCCTGTCCCTAATAAAAATTTTTTAAAAAGAAAGAAAAACAAGATCAGGAAAATGAAAGTCATGAGAATTTTAGGAGAAAGAATCTATGCCATCTTAAAGTTCATAAATCACTAAAGAAAAGAATACCAGGCAGAATCAGATTTCGATCCTGGACCTTTGGAAAGCAGATTTCACTAAGTACAGAAATAAGAGGGGTATTACTTTGAAGACTCAAAGAGACAAAAAGGCTCAGGGTGCATTCTGCTTGGAAGGCTGAGACGGAAGGATCACTCAAGGCCAGGAATTTGAGGCTGCAGTGCCCTATTATCACACCTGTGAATAGACAAAACACTCCTGCCTGGGCAACATAGCAAGACCCCATCTCTTAATAAAACAAACAAAAAGGCTCAGGGGTTGAGTCCTTGTAAGGAATTTGGCAAAAAGAGGACAGATATTGGGCTGAGTGTGGTGGTTCATGCCTGTAATCCTAGCACTTTGGGAGGCTGAGGCAGGCAGACTGAGCTCAGGAGTTAGAGACCAGCCAGGGCAGCATGGTGAAACCCCATCTCTACTAAACATACAAAAAATTAGCCGGGCGTGGTGGCAGGTACCTGTAATCCCAGCTAAACGGGAGGATGAGGCAGAATCATTTGAACCCAGGAGATGGAGGTTGCAGTGAGCTGAGATCGCACCACTGCACTCCAGCCTGGGCAAGAGTGAGACTGTCTCTAAAACAAACAAACAAACAAACA